TGATTAGTCTAATTCATCAACAACGTTGCCATCTACATTTTAGCCTCTGCCATATGCTCCAATTATTTAAAATAATCGAGATCTTAAATTACTTAAGATGAAATCTCTGATTGCATTAAAGCAATGTCAAATGTTTATGCATATTATGATGGTTTGAGACACATCTTTTATGTTGTATTCTGGTCTATTAAGATTTTAGGGAATCACCGATGGTTCTTTTAAGCACATCCTATTTCTGGAAAGAATTTCTTATCAATGTTTGTATATCTAACTCGCCACCAATTTATACTTGGTCTTTTTAATTTTTACTTGCTTTACTTATGTCTCCTGCAGCTAGCTTTGCATATATACCATTCGCACATGGTTGATGATAGTGTTGGAAAATGTGAATTCCCTTGTTGGAAGATCGACAGCAAAAGAGTATTTTCAGAAAATGTGAATTCCCTTACAAGAGGCTTAGAGAATGATTATATTTGCTTGTTTTATGATGAATTATCATCCTAGATTTGAAGGATTATTAAAGTAGTAAGACAATGTATATGTATGTGATTTTTTGTTATCTTTTTTTTTTTTATTGATTTGCATTTAAATTTAGTAATAATTATTATATAAAAAATTGGCTTAAAATTGATATAATTATACTTGCAAAAATTTAAATGTGATTTATTTATTTACTTCTTTTTGTAATATATTTATTAAGTATTAAAGTCTATAGAAAAGGCCTATAATTCCTTAAAAAAAAAGGTCCCATAATCTCCTAAAATAAGGCCTAACTCCACTTGTTTAAATAGTTGAGAATAAAAGAGAGAGAGAGAGAAATGTAGGTCCAGCCTAAATTAATTAAATAGTTGTTTAGATTTTGAAAGAAAAAATAACAAATAAAATATTGGTTCCAATATGGCCCAAGCTGATTAAACCGATCCAGTTAATTCGAGACCCGACCAACCTGAACTCGATAAACCCGAAACACTGTTACAGTAAAAAATGGGCTAATTTTTTTTTTGGGTCTGTTTGGGTTCGGCTAAATATTTTTGATCCAAACTCGTCCGAACTCGCCCCGTGCTTAGGCCTATCCATCATGATGAAACCCTAAGTTTAATCATTGGGCCCACTATACATTACGGGAGAAAGTAGCAAAAGGTTTACGTGAGTTATGTTATATATGTCTTAGTGTGAGGGGTCTTGGATTGACATGAGTTTTACTCTACATGAATATAGGGTTCGGTTTTAGATGCCAATATGTACATGACAGGATTAATCATAGACAAACACCTATTTATGTATTTATTTTTTAAGTGTATCTTTGTATTACGTTGTATTTGTATATAGATTTTTGGTAACCCTTGTACCTTTTATAATATAATTGTCTTTGTCGATCAAAAATAATAATATAAAAAAAACTGTTAGAATGAAACATGCCCTAATTTTGAAGATGTATGTCTATACTTTACTCCAAACACATCCTTGTTTAAAGATTGAATGTTCATGCTTTGATACATGACATTGCTTGTAAGATGCACTATTGTGCTTACAATAGTCACAAATTTTTTTTTCTATAAATAGGAATGTTTAAATAGATTATTTGTTGTCTTGTTTTTAATTTTAGTTTAGTATTTTCATTTTCTAATTTTTTGGTTCCAAATTGGGGTTCTCTAAGATTACCATTATCAAAAATTCAGTTTATATACAACCACACATGCACATGCAAACCAAATTTACAAACAAGACACTTGACCCAACAAGTTCTTGATTCCCACTAGTAGAACACCCACTACTAGAACCTTGAGATAAAGACTAAAAAACTAACAACCCACAAAACAAAAACTAAGAAGGGAAGTGATTACATGTGTATACATCACAACTTCATTGGCTTCTATTGTTAACTTCTCCTGTTAGGAAGTGAAACCTAGTCTTTTTAAGCTTGCTTTTGCCATGTGATACATGATTTTTAGCTAAACTTATAGCCGACTTATTGTCAACTAATAACTACATTAGTTTTTCAACATTTACTGACATTTTTTTCAAGACTAAATCAAGCCAAATAGCTTGACAAACTACATAGGAACCACCAACATAATCAACTTCACATAATGATAATGCTACAATTGGTAGCTTTTGCCTTCTTAGAACACTAATTGATTTTTAATACATTTATAGTATAATGTAAAAATATCCTTATTTATATTTTTAAATTTTAAATTATAAGAATAAAAAAGTAAATTAATTAGTTTTAAAAATTTCTTTCATCTTTTTATAAATCAAATAAGAAAAAAGTTATCTCTCCTTCCTTTCTCTCACTCTTTTAAGCCAAATGGACCCTTAATTTTGAACTCTTTGTAATCTTCTATGGTTTGAAGATAGCTTGCGATGCTTGTTATAATATGAAGTTACTTGTGAATTAGATCATAAAACAACACTTAACCTAATTTTGAGAGGAGATATTCTTAGCATAATCAGTGACGGATCCAAAAATTTTAGATAGTGGGGACAATAATTATTTATATATTTATAGTACTAAAAATTTTACATGTAATTTTTAAAAGTATAAATATATATTATAATTATTTTTTACAAGCTTTTATATCTATGCTTACGATTAATGATGAAAATAAGTTAGGTCAGACTGTTATATTATAATAGTTAATCACCTATACACTGTCAGTGTAAAGTTTTTTTACACTAACAACCAATTATATCTTTTAATTGTGTCATGTCACTGTTAAAAACATGACACAATTAAAAGATATAATTAGTTGCTAGTGCAAAAAAAATTTACACTGACAGTGTATAGGTGATTAACTCATATTATAATTTAGTTGGTTTGAACTTAACTTTTTTTAAAATACACGTCCTAAATATGACTTATTTATCTATCATAGACATTTTTTAAAATGTTTGATTAAAACTAAAATTCTAAAAATATATTTTATAATAATTTAATACTAATAAAAACATAAAAATAAATATGTTAAATTGTATAAAAATCAAGTTTAATTTATTTATAAAATAAACATATTTTTAATATCTATTATAATATTTTAGATGATAATATATTTCAAAACATATTTTATAATAAAAATTATAAATAGAATATAAATTTTCCAAAATCTTTCCCATTTTGATTTTTTTAATCAAAGTATACAATCTTACAATCTTTACTATTTTGATTTTTTTAATCAGTATATACATAAATAAAAAGTACCAAAGGTAAAAATATATATATATGCTATAAATTTTATTTTATTAAAAATTAAAAATTTTTAAAAAAAATTAATTCGTTATTAAGAAATATTATTTATCACATATAAGAACTAATCTCCTTCGAAAGTTTGATAAATATCAAATAAATAAACAAATCTTTTAAATTTATATTTTATACATATGATGATTTAAATATATATATTTGTTTTGTTATAATATAACTTTTATTTTTAAAAATATATTATTTTTTATATAAAAAAAATATATGTGTATGTCAAATGGTAGTGGGGTATGTGTAGTGTACCCACTCTCTTCTACATGGGTCCGTCGACCCTGAGTATAACCCTTATGCTTCTTTAGTGAACTTCATTCGTTTGTTCATGACATTTCTTTGGAGCTGCAATTCTGACACATCCTTCGAGAAAAAAACACTTTTGCAGATTGGCTAGTTAAATTTGGTGTTAAATTACATGAACAATTTTGAATTTAGGACTCTTTCTTGTCTCATAGTTCAAATAGCTATTCTAGTAATTGATGTCTTACATGTCCCTAAATCTCTTATTTTTCTTACAAAAAAAAAAAAAAATCTTTAACAGGAGAATGATTTAAAGACATGCCAAAGAAAATCAATCCAAAACAACAACAAAACAATTTATTTATCTTATATATTCATTTAAAAAATTGTATCTTTAAACAGTAAATACAAAGCTTTTTTATCTCATCTCAGAGTGTATCTTTGGGTCTGATGATTAATAATAAGCAGACAAAAATAGATAGTAGCTAGCTTTGATAGTGACTTTACGCTAGCAGGTATCGGAAAGTTAGCTGGGGAAGAGTTAATATATAATTCCTAGCTGGTCGTTCCAAGCACATGTCCGAATCAACGTATTTAGAGGCTCATCATACCTCGTTTAGGGCCCATACTCGTATAATAAATTTGCAAAATATATTCAGAATCGTACTCACCATAGTTGTATTGTTGGAATTGCTCTCTGAAATTTTAAAAAATAAACTCGATCTATACAGTTTTTTTTTTATTATTTGTTTTTTCACTTCAATGTAAGAGCACCATGGTATATAACGCAAGAGACTTTCCTAATAAAAAAAAAGGGTTAAAAACAACACATATATATTAGCTGGATTTCATGCATGTGAAACTCTGGTGATGATTATGTGTTTGAAAGTATCTGAACAATTCAACCCAATCAATCATATAGGTACGTTACTGCCCTTTGGCAACCCCAAAAAATATACTTAATGGAGCTATATATATCATGAGTCAAATTAATATAGGTTTAGCTAGTTGTTATAAACCTACACTACTAGCCTTCAAAATTCATCATGAGATCACGTAGAATTAAATTAACTAGCTACTTAAAGTCAATAGTACATGGAAATATAGATACATTTAAATGGTACATGTAAAATACCTATTCACCTTAAATGGAATGAGGTAGTTTGGTAGATCTGCTTTAAATATTGTATATGAATTTATGATACCCCTTATATTTAAGTAATACAATTATCTTTTGCTGTCCAAGAAAAAAACATTTAAATGTGATTCATCCAGAAATTAACTATATATGTATAGGCATTATATATGATCTTCGAACAATTTTTTGTTGAATTTAAGGATGTTAAAGTTATACCATCACTTTCATTCGTCTTCAAATTAACCTTGCCGGCTGAAATCACCGCGTTGCTTTTGAGTTTTGAGTTCCTTTTAACATATATATAACAAGAACTATTAACAGTGTTATGACCACTAATTCTATCATTATTTATCTAGCTCAGAAACAATGGCCAGAAATCTTGGCCTAATTGTCTTCATATCCTTGTTTTCTCTGTCTTCCCCAGCCCTAACAACCATTTTCTCAAATGCCATTGATTTTTGGTGCAATAAAACCCCACATCCTCAAACATGCAAGCACTTTGCCGCCACAAATCATCACCAATTTCAAGATGGTATCCCAAAAAGTGCATCACAATTCAAGAACCTCATCCTCAGAATTGCAATGGACCAATCATTGAAAACCCAAACTCATATCATGTGGTTGGGATCCAAATGTGTGAGCAAGCAAGAAAAAGAAGCGTGGAGAGATTGCATAACCCTTTATCAAGACACCATCAACATTCTCAACCAAGCCCTTAACCCTACGAAACAAAGCACTAGCTTTGATCTCCAAACATGGCTTAGCACAGCCTTAACCAACATTGACACATGCCAAACCGGGTTCCAAGAGCTTGGGGTTAGCAACAACAATGTTCTATCTCTCATTCCCAACAAGAATATCTCAGAGATCATAAGCAATTTTTTGGCTCTTAATAATGCTTTTTCGTTAATTCCTTCAAAGACTAACGAAGATGGCTTCCCAAGATGGTTATCACCCGGTGATAGGAAGCTTGTAGAGTCACCATTGTTATCACCAGATGTTGTGGTAGCTAAAGATGGTTCAGGGAATTTTGAGACCATCAAAGAAGCTTTGAAAGCAGTTTCCAAAAGGAGTGGGAGAAAGAGGTTTGTGATATATGTTAAGCGTGGGGTTTACGATGAAAACATTGTGATTGGAAAATCTTTGAAGAATATTATGTTGTATGGTGATGGTATAAGGCTCACAATCATTTCTGGTAATCGAAGTGTTGGAGGAGGTTCTACCACTTTTAATTCAGCAACAGTTGGTATGTGTATTAATTTTGATGTCTCTTTTACTTTGAGTTCTAAAATTCGTTTTTTAAGTCAGTAATTTTGATATTAAAAAAAATAATAACAAATTAGAGTGAATACTCACAGTTAATTGGTGTATATCATGTTTAAGAGTGAAACGCTACACTTAATAGGTAGGAAATTTTCATGATGAACATTAATATACAAATAAATTTTATATTGATAAAATAAAAGAAGAAATAATCGTTTATAAAATACATATATATACATTAATAATAATTGAGAGATTTTTTTAATAATAACTAAAAAAAATCATGACATTGTGTGTGAAATATCTCATCGAAATTATGTATGAAATAATCTAATAAATATAATCTTATAAAATATCCTTGAAAGAAAAGGTGTAAACTAGGTTGCAATGTTTACAGCGGTGACAGGAGATGGGTTCATGGCACGTGACATGACATTCCGCAACACAGCAGGAGCAGAAAAGCACCAAGCGGTGGCATTGCGTTGTGGTGCAGACCTCTCTGTCTTCTACCGCTGTGGCTTTGAAGGGTACCAAGACACTCTCTATGTCCACTCCCAAAGACACTTCTACAAGGAATGCCACATTTATGGTACAGTCGACTTCATCTTTGGCAACGCCGCTGTTGTCTTTCAATCCTGCAATATATATGCCAGAAGGCCAATGCCAAAACAGAAAAATGCCATAACAGCTCAAGGTAATTATAAAAAGATCAAAAACTGCTATATATAATAACAAAAATATTTCAAAGTATATATTTCAATATAATTATAAAATTATGTTAGACAAAATATTATTTCTTACACTAATATGAGAAGTTATATTATTAATGCATATATTTCTTAAAAAAAATAAAAAATACTAAATAATGAATGATATTGGAAAAAGGTTGGAACAACTCCACTCATAGCTCAACTCATCTCTAAAATATATCGGTTCCAATTTGTTAAACCTAAACCCGTTGAATGTTTCTTTTTCTCGAGCTGGATTAGTAAGACAAGCCGGACCATGAACACCGATACTTATACCCAAAGAGTAATATAAGGTTTTTGAATTATCTGTAAGTTGTTAGAGGTTTGTTGCCTTATGTTGGTTACTCTGGTTTGGGCCCATTGAGTCAAGTTGAGCCTGTTTGTTTATAGGGCAGATGATAAACACACTTCCACTCTCGTATAAACACACTCCCTTTTTTAAAAAAAAAATATAAAATGTCTAAATTACCCTTAAAAAAAATGAAATTCCTAAATTTACACTTCCCTTCCCTGCACCCCCTTTCCTCGCACCCCACACTCCACACCCTTCTTCTTCCCAAAGCCTCTTTTTGCTCAGTGTCATTAAGCAATATACTTTTACAGTCATTCTGAATAAAAAAAAAAGGACTAGCCCCACCATAATTAGCATAAGAAAGGTTCTTTTACAGTCATTAGCATTCCGGAAAGTACTTTCTGGAATAGTAAAATTATTGTTCATATAATTCCGGAAAGAACTTTCCGTAATAGTAACTTTAATATTATGAAAAGTATTTTCTGGGATTATGTAACAAAATATTTCCGGAAAATACTTTCCAGAATAAGAATTTAATATTATGGAAAGTATTTTCTGGAACATTTTCATATCATTCCGGAAAGAACTTCCCGCAATAGTAAGAGGACGAAGAAGAGTGCCAGAAAGAGAAAGAAGAGGGGTGCGCAATGTCAGCACGTGGTCTTGTAAGAGAAAAACTCTTACTTGTTCTATGGAAAGACACACTAGTACAAAAATGACTTTTAAAATCGGAGTTTTAAAATCAGTCATAAGGTAACTATTTTAAAAGTGACGTGATGGCCTGTACTGTAACAGAACGACCCCAGAACGGCTCGTTCAGCAAGCAGAACGGCATGTATTGCTTTCAGTACGGCCCGTACTGCAAGCAGAACGGCCTGTACTGCTTGCAGAACGGGCCGTTCTGCAAGCAGCACAAGACGTTCTGCAATCAGAACGAGCCGTTCTTCTTGCAGAACGGTCCGTTCTGGTGCCGTTCTGGTGCGGGGTAGGGGGTGTAATTTTAGGAATTTCATTTTTTTTAAAAGGATAATTTAGACATTTTATATATTTTTTTAAAAAAAGGGGGTGTGTTTATACGAGAGGGAATGTGTGTTTATCATTTGCCTTGTTATAGAGGCATATTGGGCCTTTATAAACCTAAGTTGGGTCACGTTTGAAACAGCAAAATATATTGTTCACACTTATCTTTATATCAAAGTATATTCATCTATTTATACGTTTTAACATTTTGCAACATAGAACTCACAACTGATTCACTTTAAAGTACGAAATCCCAATTATTAATATGAAAATGAACGGCCAATACTACTACATATACATGCATAACAAATCAAGATTACTTACTTTTAGCCTCGTTGGAATTCAAACCCTTTATTTCATGGAAATAAAAGCTAAATGCATAAACTCAAAATGTTACGTACCAATTAGTAGATACTAGATACACAACCTTAATTTTACTTTAGTAACATAGAAAACTCTTCTTTTTCTTTGTAATTATTTGTAACAGGTAGAACAGATCCGAATCAAAACACTGGGATTTGCATCCAGAACTCGAATGTAATGGCTGGTGAAGACCTAGTGCCCGTGTTGAGTTCCTTCAAAACCTTCTTGGGTAGGCCATGGAAGGAGTATTCAAGGACAGTGTTCATACATACTTACATTGATGGGTTGGTAGACCCTGCAGGGTGGTTAGAGTGGAAAGGCGATTTTGCCCTCGACACTTTGTATTATGGAGAGTATATGAACCTTGGTCCTAGGGGTTCCACAAGAGGTAGAGTCAAATGGCGTGGTTACCATGCCATAACAAATGCAACCGAAGCATCCAAATTCACGGTTGAAAATTTTATTGCTGGAAGATCATGGTTACCAGCCACAGGCATTCCATTCTTCTCCGGACTCTACTATATAGTTAATTAATTTGAAGAGCTTGCACCATTTTCATAAGCTCTTTTTAACCTGCTATAATTCAAACATGTTGTGCAAGCGTTTAATAAAATTGATTGCTCAAAAACAACCAGAAATCCTTGAGAATTATTGCTGAGAAGCTGTTTCATATGTTATATTCGCTGAGGTTCTATCTATGTTCTTCTTAATTACATTAAAATGAATAATATGCATCTATTATTATTGGTTATGTTTTTTTTATTATTATTATTAATTTTATAGCTTGCAATTTTAGTTTCTATAATATTTGACACACTAATATGAAACGGTGACGTGATAATAAAATATAATTTTTTATATGAAGATATTCGAACTTCATAGTCAGATTCATTAGACTATTTATCTCGTATAAGTTATAATTAATAAATAACTTGTGCATATAATAAATAAATAAACAACTAAAATAATATGCTCGGGGTCAGTTTGATTTTTACAATTTTTTTTCTGACAAACTGTAAAATAAATATTTCGTTATAAGATGAAAGTTTATGAAGAACAAAGCAAATCCAAAATCAAACTTGTAAATTACAAAACAATACAACAAATGTAGTAATTGGATATATATATCAGTCAATAGAATTTTGATAACCGTGACCGTGAGGTTTTTAAGAATTAAATTATAAAATATATATATATATATATATATATAATGAATTGTATTATTTTTATAGTATATATATCTAACATAAAATTAAATACTCAATTATATATTTTGAACACTAACTCACAGTATTTTTCACTAATTAGGTATTTTGATCGAATCGACTAGTGGATCCAAAATTTAAAACATCTATCATAATGATCTCCCATATAACATACATCAAATATTTAATAAAAATTTAAATAAGGTTTGAGAATATTTGCCCATTATTTGATTTATATGTTATTACAATTATTATAACAAAATAATTTGTTTTGTAATATAAATTGAAATAAAGTTTGATGACCAAAAGTATCCAGGACAATGTTTTAAAAAAATAAATAATTAATTAAAGAATACAACATTGTTGTATTCTTAAATTATTTATTTTCGAGTTTTAAGAAACATACATGATGAAGAATTGACTTTTTCTGATTAAGTGATAATAGTGTTTAGCATTCAGGGCTTTCAGACATTGTAAAAGTTCCGTAAAGATAAAGATTGTAAATATCTATCGAAGTGTAAAGTGGTATTGAATAGGAAATAACAAAGTACTTACTATTTATTATTAGTTCTTGTATAGCTACTATTATTTATTATTATTTTAAAAAGTTAAAAGTTAAAAGTTAAAATAAAACAATAGTTATGGCCATTAAAAGTACTCTTAGGTGTTTCGGAGTTGTTGCTGGATTAAAGGTAAATTTTCATAAGAGCATTTTGGAGCAATTGGAGTGGAAAAATATTCTTTGGAGAGGTTCGCATACCTCCTAAATTGTAAATTGTTTCAATTGTCTTTTATCTATCTTGGCTTAACATTCAGAGCTAATCCTAGGAAAATGGAGACTTGGAAGCCAGTTATTCAAAAGTTTAAGAAGAAATTATCTCCATGGAAGAACAAGATCCGACGGGAAGGGTATGCTTGATCAATTCTATCTTAACATCATTGTCATTATTTTACTTATCCTTTTATAAAATGTCAAGTCATGGTTGGTTGACAATTAATCTCAATTCAAAGAAGATTCTTATGGGATTGTAAGGGAGGTTAAAAAAGATACAGTAAGTTGGGATAAAATTACACTATTAGAATTTCTCTTATTATATGCGATTTTTTCCTGCAAATTTTTTATAAAAATTTGTAGAAAACGTTGTTCCTTCAAATTTTTCTGCGAAATTTTATCTGCAGGTAATACCTTCGTGGATAATATATTTTTACGAATTTGAAAATTCGCAGGAAATTTTTCTGCGAATTTTCTTGCAAAAAAAATTACAAGAAAGTTTCCTGCAAAAAAATATTGCAAGAAAGTTCCATGCAAAAAAAAATTTGCAGGAAAATTTCCTGCGAATTTTTTCGCAATAAATTTTGCAGGAATATTTTTCACGAAAAAAATAAAAGAAATTACTATAAATTCTATCAATAATTCTTCAACTTTCAAATGCTCACAATGAATTCATCTGAAACATTTGTTTTCATGCTTTCAACACCATCACCTGCAGATACAATACAACATTGGTTAAAGTATGACATCAAAAAACAATATCAATATAAACAATCAAATAAACCAAATGATCCGCATACTATTACATTATGTTCAAATTCACCTCTACAAAATTAGCTTATTATATACTTTATTTTTGACATATCATTATGTAGGATCTCTAGCATTTTGAAGACAGTATCAGATTCAGAGCCTACCCTAATTATTATTCTATAAGATCACTTGCAAATATTTAGTTCAATAAACTTGACGCTGCAATCTTAGTGTCAGAGGAATGTTAGAAATCCTACATAGACTAGTGAAGACTAAAATAAACCAGTTTTTCAGGGATTGAGTTAAACTAAACTTAGATTCTTAAAATAAAAAAAGTAAGGCCAGGGAGTGCTTTATTTTCTTAAATGGACTAGTTCATCTAATTAGATTCAGATTCAGTTAAAAAAACAAAAAAACATACAAATTACAAACTATATTAAAATCAAGAGAATTACCTCTGAGGGATCACGAAGAGAGTAAACTGCGTTGGTTTCTTTTGGGACGGGGGACACTAAGATGCCACAACCTTTATTAACTTCTCTCAAAGCCTGTAACAGTCCGTTTGATATCAGTATTAAGGAAATCTACAAAGAGGGCAATTTGAGGCATGACATCATAACAAGCTATGTATTATTACCTTAAATGCATCTTCATCTGTTCTATCATCTCCAACATATATTGCTAGCACGTCATCACAATTGTTAAGTCCTAAATAAATAAAGATGTCTTGTGTCATATACTGCATAACAAAATTAAGATCTTCAAAGAAAGCGACCATTAAATAAAAACAACGAACTCACCAAGTGACTCAAGTAGAAATGTGACAGCTTTTCCCTTATCCCAGTCGATCACTGGCCGGACCTCTAAAACCTGAAAGTTAGTGAACATAGATTATTAAAAAGTACTTTAAGAGTTATGTTCTCTTAAAAATGAGTAAAATTTTTGGGCCTTGAAATGGTACCTTCCGCCCATGAGTTAAACGCAAACGTGGGTAATCCTTCAGAACATCATATACACGTTGTCCCACAATACTCCAATTCTGTACATTAAATGAAACAAATTAAGGGGAAGTAAATACATACAATCATGATAAAATATGAAATAAGTTAGTTAAAAGATGGTGCCATCTTGGGAAGAAAGACTCTCCATTCTTATGCTAATGAATAGGCATCAGAAAAGAAGTGAATACCTCTTGATCTACATTGCGGTAATGCACAGACGCACAAAATTTATTGTTCTCAACTAATGCTCCTTCAATGTCTTTTGTACACTCCTTGAGCAACTCAAGTACCTGCACAAACATTAGTTGATCAGCATACAACTTTCCGATACAGAAAAAAAGATTGAAAACTGTTTCATTGTATTGTATTTTTCAAATATACATGCCTCTTCAATCATGGGGAGGAATTCAGCAGCAGGTTGGAATAAATTGACTTCAATACCCTGTAATTTCAAAAGATTATAAATCAAAATTGAGGCACATTAAGTCATCTTTGGACAAACTTTTCCATAAGCACTTCTAGAAGAAGAACAAATAAAATAAGTTCTCATAAGTTAAAATTAACTTCTCCACAAGTTAAAAATTAACTTTTAAGGGAGATAATATCAGAAAGTTTCTAAGAATTAAGTTATACAAAAGTTACTTTTAGTTTCCAAAAATTTATCAACACATACCCTCGGACATATATTCACAAACATATGTCACTTAAAAGCATTGAAACTAGTACCTGTTTGTCAGCAGAACTAATGCACTCAGGGTGATTATCAGAATTAGATTGTCTACGAGGACAAATAATGTCCATCCCATGACTACCAGCATAATAGAGCTCTCTTACTCCAACAAATTCACAAACCTGATCCAATAGGGTATATAATAAAGGTTAAAATCAAAGTCAAAAATGATGATCAACAAGGAAACTTGTTATTTGCAGGTGAGTAATGCAATTCTTCAACTACCTTGTCGCGCCTTCTTCCACTAATTATTGCCGTTGTAAAACATTCTGCGACATTTTTAACAGCAGCACGCATCTGCAGAAAGTTCCAGGATAATTAAGAATCGGCAAAAATAATAACATGAGAAGAAAAACATCAAATTGAAAATCTGGACACTAAATCAAAAGAGAACATTACATAATAAATAGTACATACATTGTCTGACATGAAAGCGCAGTCAGGATTGTCCACAATGGGTGAAAGAGTCCCATCATAATCCAGAAACAATACTATTCTCTTCCCCTTAGCACAGTTTGCAATTTGATCAAACGATGCAAGTGCTGATGGAAACTTAAGCTGTGAAGTGGCAACAGGAAATTTGATAAACATAACATCCAAAATTATTGAACACAAGAGATTACTGAGAGGAAAGTATGTTATACCAGCCAGGAATTATAAGCAGCATCAGATGATCCAATCCCATGACTAACATCCTTGGATACTTTATTGTGAGTAGGAGAAGATGATTTCATGGCATCAAGCCAACCGTTAGAACGAACATCTTCAAGAATTCCTGTCTTCTTCCTTGGAATTGCCAGCAAGGGACCATGGGGAAAGGTTGCCCCTTTAGAAGAGTAAGAAGGTGACAAACCTGAAGGCACACCAAGCCTTGACCTTGTTAAGGGTGTGGTATCAGTAAGGACAGGAGTAAGATTTGTCTTCAAGTCCATTGGATCCAGGTCTATCCACAATTTCAAGTGAAGCAAGCAACAATGTAAGACCTTTAAGGAGTATTCAGAACAAATTGAACTAGTGTCTATCAAACTTCCACTTCACCCAACTCTTTTTCTGTCAATGGTTTTGAGGTAGCAGCTTATCAACAACTGAGTTCCTAAGGAAAAAATGATCATGCAATTAATTAATTTGAAACTCTGAATTCATTGAATATCATCAAGTGACCATAAACTGCTAAAGGCAAATAAACAAACAAAAGAGCAAGCAAAAATAGTTGTATGATTAGAATTTCACATAACTTTATGCCCAGAATTTCTTAACGTCACTCTGACTCACCATGGTGGTCCTGTTACAGACTCAAAATGACCATCATGACACAAACATGAACATAACCAATGTGGACTTGTCTTTTCAACGAAAAACACTCAAAAACAACAATCTAAGAGTGGCTAGTCGAGCATGCATAGCTGTCAACTTCACAATCTGACCCTTTTTATCCCTTCTATTTATTTATTATTTTTACCTTCCCTGATCCTACTCTTCTAAAGTGAGTAAATAGGAAGAATGAAGTAATATCAGAAAATCAATAGTCCATATTAAATATTTTCTCATCAACCACTAACATTATTTACTTTACTACTTTACTACTTTACCCTTATTCACTCTAGCTTAGAGACATCAAATCTCAGAAAAAGCTTCTGCACGTTTCTTTCGTTACTATGACTTTAGAGAAATAAATGGTACTTTCCATTAAATGTATATCATGTCCATTTTATTTATTTTTCTCAAAATCTTAATAATGGTGGAAGTGGAGAAGAAAAGAAATAGAAAGGACGTTGATCCCCAAATCCCCTGCTAGACAGTACATGATCACAATGAGAAGAAGCAATTATTAGACCAAAAACACGATCCCAAAGACAAGAAGCAATTATTAGAACAAAACGCCGAGGAATCGAGCGTGAAAAAAAGAAGAAGAAGAAAGAGATAACATATTTAGCAACGTGATTAAAATTTAAACAGTAGTAAAAGGCAGACAAACCAGAATCACTTGTCGACAAAAACTGAATCAATCAATCATTCATGCAGAGACCGCTCTAAAGAAAACAACGATGCACTCATGAAAGAAAAACGAAACGTTTTTTTCGCAAATAAATAAATAAAACCAGGTCAAAAAAGTTCAATATTAAAATCCAATAATAAGTTTCAAAACAGAAGGCAGCACGAAAGAAAGATTCCCTTGTCAAAACTGTTACCGAACCATTGAATGTCAACACATTTACGCAATCCCCATTAAATAATACTAATAATCAAACGGTCAAAACTCAGAATCTCAATTTGACTAGCAGGGAGAAGACGCACGCACGAGGCAAAAGCACCTAATCCCTCACGCTAAAGAACATACTAACGGGGAATCCTAAACCTCAATATGAACGCAAAAAGTCCTCTCAGCTTTCATCACGTCTATTTATTAAGTGTGTCTTCTAGAAATCATTGAGTCTGAAAGAGACAATCCATAGTCTAACAGTTCATAATTTCTCAATAGTTCTTAAAAAAAGAAGATATGAGCTTAATTCAACCTTAAAAAACTGACTTATAAAATAATGATTATTCTCCATTTATATATGCATCTTATTCCGTTAACAAGGATTTCTTACACACACCTTCACACCGAGGATCAAACATTTTTGGGGTGAAGTTTGCAAAAGTTTACATGACTAGACATCTGCTAGTGGACCAATAACAATTCAATAACAAGGTGACCTGATAAGTCCAACAACACTCGTTACATAAAGGGAGTCAAGTCTAAGAGACATGAATAGTTGTTCAGTCATACAATTTATAACACAACCCTTCAAACATCAAATATGAGCACTTACTTGGTTTGGATGATGGACAAAACTAGGATACATTATTTATGATATAGCCAATGTTGTTCTAATGTTGTTCAATCAAAATTAGAGTTTCACCTCATTAATATATATCGAAATCAAATAAAATATTTTATTATGTTTAGTGTGGTGAGATAAAACTCCAATTCTAATTAAATATTAGCTTCAACAAAACCTATAGAATTTCATGTATGTTAGACAGTCCACCAACAAACAAGTTCCAAGGAAGAATGAAGTGGGAGATTCAGATCACAATGCAAGTTGCAAATTAACAGTCTTCAAACAAACAAACAAACACAAAACCATGTAAGAAAAAAAAAAAAAAAAAAAGAATGCTGGGTCATGGGTGCAAAATTGGAGGAGTTTCCTTTTGCAGTAATTTCCTAGTTACAAGAAAGCAAGAGAGAGAGAGAGAGGGAATGTGCACGTGAGGGAGCAGATAGATACCGTACTCGCTTGAAACTAAAGCTCTGAGAATGGAAAGGAAAATGTTGCAGTGTGAGAAGGCGCAGAGAATGGTGACAGTGGGAAGGGCAATGGAGGGAGTATTTATGCGCGTCGGTCCTCACCTAACGTGCGTTACAGACTACATAGGCGCGGTCGTTGAATAAGGAAACCACTCGCAATTAAAATATTTTGTCATGTTTTTTTCCTATCTTCACTTCGCTTCGCGGGGGGAGCGCGTGAGGGGCACGACGCTTTGTGGTTGCGCTGTGGCGCGTGCCAAGTGGGGCTGCGCGTGGGAGAGGCTTTGAGGGTGAGAAAGGAACGCTACTCCAGTCTAAAAGGACTTAAAATATGTATTACAACTAAGAAGGTGAAAGGAAAGTAACACGTGAGATATCAAATGTGAAATGTTCGCATCTAGCTTCTAGACAAGTGGAGAGTTTAGGTAAAAATTAAATATATGTGTTTAGGTTTTCGTTTGGTCTCTATTACGGTCACACTCTCGATAAGTACTTTAAAGAGTGGAATAGCTGATTCCAAGATTTAACGCGCGGCTGTATATGCAAGGCAAGATTCAAATCTCTAATCTTGCTTCAACGTAGATCAATTCCTATCGCTGAACCACATGTTTAAGTTTCTGAGTCTTTCTCTTATTGCTATATGGAATTACTTAGCATGATGAAACAAAACATGATAACTGCATAATCCCCAAATCTCTAGCACACACGACACACGATGTGACCTGCTTCTCCTCTAATATGTTACATCTCAAACTAATACTAAAATACAGTAATTATATTTAATAAACTTGGACTCATGAGCAAAAGAATTTAGATTACTTTTTTTTTTTGGATTCTTTTTTACTGAATAAATGACTTTAATAAAATAAAGGAAAGATCATTAACGAATGCTAAAAACAGCTTTTACAAAACCCTCTATAAATGGAACAAAATCAAGATAAAAACTAACCAAAACATGTTTCCAATAAAGCCATCATTATTAAAACTCAACTTTGCTATCACCATATAAATTACATATAAATATGAGGTAATCTATGGACACATAAACCAGATCATCACATATTAAAGATCTTCTCAATTCACTTAATTAAAAAGAAGATCTATTAAGAACCAATCGAGCTATTATAGAATTGTTTTATGTTATCGTCTTATTTGTATGATTTTAAAAATAATTCTTTATTAAAAAAATGATTGAGTTTATTATTATTAAAACATATATTTTTGAAGGATTTAAGATTATCTTTTGATCTAACAATCTTTCCCTTTTATGAGGACAAATACACTTTTGAAAAAGCATAGTTTTATGCGCCTAAGATTTAGTCGAATTCTATTAAAAAATGAATATATGACCATACAAAGCATGTCAAACATTACCATATCAATGCATATAACTTATCTAATTAGTGCATATATGATAAAAATCATGTAGTGCATACACTAAGAGTGTTTTTAAGATAGAGATGTTTCCCTTAAGATGGAGCAAAGTTTTAAAGTAGTCAACATAAAAAATAAAACATAAAATCTTTAAAATCTCCTTATTTTTTTCATGATCATGCTTATTATGTTTACTCTTCCTTTTGACACTAGCAAAAACTACGATAAGAGAAACTAGTCCAAAGAAAAGTCTTCGTTGTTAGAATTAAGGTCCTAACAGAACTTGTTGAGCAACTTTTGATAACGACGATTAGAGCAAAATTGTTAGCAAATGAACTTGTGAAGGACGTGACTAGTGTAGTGACCATATATCATCTTCAGCTTTGAGATAGTCTCTAGTACTTCAAGGGTTTTAGTAGAGGAAGATGGTTGCTCTTCTTCCTGGAGGGAGAAGTAACAATAAACACAGTGTGTTTGTACATAAAGCAAATATTTACATGTAAATAAAGAATAAAATGAAAATCAAAAGGGGATGGAAAAATAAAGTGATGACATGATTGGTAGCGAGCATAAGGCTTGGTGGTAGGTGAAATTGATGATTGTAGAACGCATCATTCCATGGTGATGATATGGTAATATTTGTTCACTTTAGAGACTCTAGACCGATGAACTTTGACATAATGCAAATTTCTTATGTTTCAAAAAAAAAAACTAAGAATAATTGTAATTAAATTCTTCACGTTTTATACTTTTGTAATTTAGTTCCTTGGGTTAAAAATTCATTTATAGTCCATGAAACTTAATTAAATATTTTTTTATATCTTCATATTTAAACAATCACATCAGATTATTATCTCATATCACATTCATGTATATCAAGTTTTAATACCCATGAAAATTCTCTCATAATCTCTTTAGTAATAAGAATTACGAAATAATAAAAAAAATTAGTGGGTAAAAATTAAAATCTAATACGCATGAATGATGATATGAAATAATAATCTAATGCATCTATCAAGATATGAGAATATAAAAAATATTTTGTGAAATATCACATATCCTAAACAATTCCCTAGTCCTAAGGACTAATTTCAAAAAAGAAAAAGATGAAAAATCCAATTATAATTATTTTTTAGCTTAAGAATCTAATTGAAATTTTTTTAAAAAATTCATATTTAAAATTTAAAATTTCAAATGATGTATTAAGCTTTTATTAAATAGCTTTATAAATTTCAAACATATACAACCATAAATAACAAGTAATAGTTGCATAATAAACAGTTATGAAAGGGGAAATAATTTGATTTTAAAATATGAATATGTCAATTTGTTTATTTGTTTAATGTGTAAACCTCAACTGTACAAAAGATACTGGCCACTGGCCAGACTCAATGTCCTGTCACCTAAATTGAAGCACATGGCTTTATTGATCTTAGTTAAGACTTAAGATATACTACCTTAATCAAAGGGTACATGGTAGTCATTACATTCTGTCGCCATTTGTGAACAGAGACATGTTAAGTCAAATTACAATGAATCGTGCACGATTTGTTTATATATTTTCTTAATTTTTAGGATTTGTGTTAGCATGTGAAAGAGTAGATTCAGCATCCCAAAAAGATTGTAAGTAGAGATGCGTGTTGTCTTTAATACCAGAAAAGCTAAGAAAAATGTGTCATATTACATTTTTCGAAGACAAATTTAGGTGCCGGCGAAATACATCCCTTAAAGGACTTTCAATTGGACCTTCAACCCCTGCTAAAAGCTCTTGTAACCGCAGCAAGAATTAAAGGGTGTATTAGGTTCGGCATAAAACCTTTTTAACATTTAAAAAAATCATGTAAATTTTAAAATATTTTGTAAAAAAATTAATATTTCTTTTTAAAAAATTTGTAGGAATGTAATAATTTTTAAGATTTTTTTTTAAATTTTAAATCAAAATTTTATAATATAATTTTAATGGATTTGTATTTAATGAATTTATAAGATTTGAAAAAAAATTATTAAATTTTGAAGGACAATATAAATTTTTAAAATAAGACAATTAATAAAAAAAAAAACATAAATAACAAGGTTTGAATAAAAAATTAAAAATTAATAATTTTTTTATCTTTTAATAAATATTTAGTTTTGGTTTTATGTATTCTCTTAAGTAATATTTCTTTACATACAACTTTCTATGCATTTATATTTTCTCATTCATACAATTGAATTTGAAAAGTATGTTCAAATTTATGATATTCATTAGTTAATAGAATTGTCAAAATATATTTTTAATATATGTCTAAAATTTTGATATTTCAATATTAAAGTTTATTGAAAATATACATGTGTTAAATTTTAATAATTAAGAAATTTAACAATATATAATATTTAATAATTCAAAAATAATTTAAAATATTTAATAATTAAAAATAAATATTGATAAATTATACATCAGTATTCATAAATAGAAATGTAACATAAAATATTGATAGATAAAAATATCTTAGATCAAATTTCAATGATCTAACCCGTTAAATTATAAGTTTTTAATGTATATATTAAGTTTGTAAATTTTAAAAAATAAAATTAAAATTACACGATACTTCGTTATATAGATTTAAATCAAAGTATAAAATATTTTTATGATTAATGAAGTATTAAATATTATTCAACTTTTTAAAATTTTGAAGATTATCTATATATTAGAAACTTTTAATTTAATAGTTTAATTGTTGAAATTTAATATAGAAGATAAGTTATCGAGTGAATTAAGAGTTATTCTTGGAGTATATATATATAT